AGGGGGAGGGCCAGCTGAGGGAGGGGCAGCTCTGGGAGCCGGGCAAGGCCACAGCCTCCGGAGGAACAGGCGCTGCAGACCCTCCGAGCGCCCACTTCCCCGGCGGCGGGACCTCTGGCCTCCAGGCTGGGCTTTTAGACCTCGTCCCTGGTGGCAATTTGCTGCGGCAGCAACGGGAAAGCACCCCTTCCTCTTCCTCACCCACTGGTGACAATCAGACACGCCTGCTGACTCGTCGCATGTCCCCTGGTGAGCAGGATGTGGGGAATGTGGGCCCGGGAGGCCCCACTGAACTGAAGTCATTCTTCACTGAGCTTTTCCCATGTGTGGCCTGGCCGGCTGCTGCCCCGCCATCTCGTCTAACCCTCGTGGAAAGCTGCCCGTGTGCTTGGTCGCCTCCCGGCCATGGCAGGAGGAGGCTCAGAGCCGCTGGGTGGGCGCTGGGGCTGGGCGCACAGACAGGGAGGGCAGAACCAGGGTCACCTCCAGAGCCTCAGGCCTCCATTCCAGGCCCTCGTCGCTGTGCCCACGCCTCCCACCAGCAGCTGGGCTGTGTCTCCAGCATCTGGTGGAGACTCAGCTGATGGTGGCCAAGGCCAGAGGTTCCTGGGTGGGGGTGGGGAAGGCCATGAATGAGCAAGTCACAAAAAGTGGGGCCAGGTGGCGAGAGCCAGGCTGGCTTTGAGTCCCTAACAGCTTCTTCAGCAGCATGGTTAAGAGCACTGGCCTAGCCCTCGCTGGTTTGGCTCAGTGGATGGAGTGTCAGCCTGTGGACTGAAGGGTCCCAGAGATTCTATTCTGGTCAAGGGCACATGCCTGGGCTGTGGGCTCAATCCCCAGTGCGGGGTAAGAGGGGGTCGTGCAGGAGGCAGCCAATCAACGATTCTCATTATTGATGTTTCTATCTCTCTCTCCCTCTCTCTTCCTCTCCCTTCCTCTCTGAAACCAATAAAAACATATAAAAGAAAAAAATAAAAATACCCCTGGCCTAGAAGCCCAGTAGCTGGGGTTTGAACCCTGTCTTTGTCCCTCGGGCAATTGCCTACCCTCCCTGAGCCTCAGTTTACCTCTCTGGGCAATGGGCTGCTTGAGGATCGCCCAGGGCTGATTTATTTGCCCAGGGAACCCTTAGTTCCCGGGACCCCCTTCTTGCAGGAGGAGGGTTTCCACAGACTACAAAATGCTGGGCCTGCCCGCCCCTTCTCTGGTGAGCTGGTGGCTCTCTAGTTTCCCCCGTCAGATGGGAGGTGGGCGTGTGCCTCTGGGTGGTGGGTTCATGATCAGGGTTGGGAAAATCTGGTTCAGAATCTGGAAGGCTCAGCCCCAGGCCTGGGCGTCCCTTATCGTCTTGGTCACGTCATTCACCCTCCCCGGCCCTAAGGCACTCATCTGTGGACCACTGGTGGTCCATGAGGTCCGAAAGGTTGGCGACCGCTGGTTTAGAAGCTACTTTTGTCCCCAGTGAGTCTGGAGCCACAGCAGCCTCTTCGTCGACACCAGAGCAGAAGTCCTTGTGGCTGGAAGATCTCCGTGTAGTGTCTGAGTCTGTGGGAGGCCAAACTGAGACACGGGGGGACAGTTGGCCACATTGGTCGGATGTCCCCTACGTGGGCTGGACGAGGCCTTACCCGAAGTCTGTTTACAAGAGCGCGCGCGCACAAACATAGTTTTCTTAAATGTAAAACTTCCAACAGACAGATCTGCAATATGTCCATCAACACTTAACAAACTCATAAATACATATTTTTAAGTCTCAATTTCATTTTTCCACTTGAAATTTCATCCCCACGTTCACCCAGCCCTTCACTCCAGGCATGCCCGGCTGCTCTATCGATTTTCTGCCCAGCATCAGACTTCTCACCGCCCCCCTGCTGCTGGGGTCCGCCCCATGGACTTCCCGGTGCCCTGGCTCTAGGAGAGAGGTTGGAGTGGGAAGAAAGTCTATGAGCCGTTTCGCTCACAGACCTTTTCTCCCAAAGAGAATCCCACAGGGGACAGCACAGCCAGGAGAAGGCGTTCTCCCTGAGAACCCCCTACCCCCAGGTTGCTACGGAGCCAGCCTGTCATTTGAAATGCAACGTACTTTTTGGCATGCGATCCTATTTTGTTTAATCCTCAAAGGCTTTTAGCATCTTCTCTTTATCCGTTTTCTAAAATTTCATTAGAACAGGTCCCTCGTTGAGGCTTGTAGTCACTGTGCCAAGTATCAGGAGGGCTTTTCCACCTAAAAATTCAGTCTATCATTTGGGGACTCGTTGTGTTTGATCATTCATGCCTCCTACTTTATCCATATTCTCCACTAAGGAGCAATAGGGCTTATTCAATTAATCCTGTAAAATTCTCGCCTTTGTTATTGTCCATTTTATAAACAAATATTTATCTACTTATCTGGGGAAAACATTCTTGTTGTCTTCTAATTCTTCTATTGCTTTTTTAATTTAAATTTCAGCTTTCATACTTATAATGTCAAGGAGTTTCTCTTCATTTTCTTAAACTTCCTTTTTTAAAATTTTTTTTAGCAAACCATTCTTGTTTCCTGGTTGTGATATACTTTCTTCTTTGGAGGATGTTAATGACGGAGCTTTGGTGTTTTCTTCTGTTTTTTTTTTTTCTTTCCATTTTTTAAATTGATTTTAGAGAGAGAGGAAAGGGGGGCGGGGAGAGAAAGAGAGAGAAAAACACTGATTTGTTGCTCCACTTGTTCATGCATTCATTGCTGCTTCCTGTATGTGCCTGTGCCTGACCTGGGATGGAACTGCAACCGTGGTGTCTCGGGATGATGCTCTAACCACTGAGTGCCCAGCCAGGGCCGCATTTGCTCTAGTTCCTCATAATTCCTCTCTTTGTTTGTTTGCTTTTTGTTTGACCTTCAAGTTGGAAGCTTATCTCAAATGTCTTGTGAAATATCTTTTAAAATAAAATCTGAGTAGGGTTTTTTCTATAATTTACAGGCCACTAAAGACCCCATACCTGGCCACCATGCACACTCCCCAATTTAAAGCCGCATATGCCCACCGATTGCACCTTGTCCCCCCCAAATTCTGTGAAAGAGGCATTCTTGCTGTTGGGCAAAGTAGGAACAGACACACAGAGAGGGTTAAATGAGGGGAATCCACACAAATCCATGGAGTGACTCCATCCCATGATCGCCCCTCAAGTGAAGTGCTTTCTCTTTCCTTCAATAAAGAAAGCCTTTCCATGCTCGGGGAATCCTGGGAAGAAGCCCCCACACCTGCTTCCTGAAGTGGACACCTGATTTCTGCCAGCTCAGCACCCTTCCTTCTCCTTCCTGAGGACTAGGTCCACGTGGATGACCTCACTTCCCCCATCACATCAGTCAGAGTACTCCATTCTCCCTGATTGGTTCAAGAATCAGCATGTGACTCATGCTCAACCAATCAGAATCTTCCCTGGGACATTCTACCAGCAGTATTTGGCTTGAAGAATTCTCTTTCTAAGTTGGCAGGTCATAAGCCTTGGGTGACTGGTGGCCACATAGAGAGAGTCAGAGAGATGGAAAGAAAGGGGCCTAACAATAATGCTTGAGCTCCTGGATCCAGCCATTCCTGAACGGAGGTATCCCTTGATTTCCCAATTGCACGAGAGAATAGATTCCCTTTAAAAAAAATTTATTTTTAAAAATATATTTTTATTGATTTCAGAGAGGAAGGGAGAGGGAAAGAGAGATAGAAACATCAATGATGAGAGAGAATCACTGATTGGCTGCCTCCTGCACACCCCCTACTGGGATCGAGCCCGCAACCCAGGCATGTGCCCTTGACTGGAATTGAACCTGGGACCCTTCAGTCCACAGGCGGACACTCCATCCACTGAGCCAACCCGGCCAGGGCCAGATCCCCTTTTAAAGCCCAGGCGAGCTAAGTTTCTGTCGTTTGCAGCCCAGATGCTCTTGAATCACCGCCCAGACTCTTTTTCTGGCCTAAGCCCTCCTGGGCCCACCTGCGATGAGGAGGGAAGCTGGGGTGAGAAAATAGAATTGCCTTTGGGAACAGGCCGTGGTGCTTTTGGAAAAGCACTTCTACCTCATGGGGTAACCCCTCCCCCCCGCCCCCCCCCCCGGGCTGTCCAACTTCGGAGGCTGCAAGTTCTGTGCACATGAAGGGTGAGGGAGGGTGGGTGAGCCAGGGGCAGCGGGGTGGGGGATGGACAGGCTTAGCCGCTCTCCGCTGCTGACGGTCGCTAGCTAATTTTCTTCCCGACGAGACCAGAGCTGCCCTTCACCTCCAGTCCCCATTAACGGCCGCACGCTTCGTCAGCATGTTTATGACAAATTAATTACACGGAGAGAAGTCTCGCCGGAGCAGCTCTGGTGTGGGGGCCGAGGCTGGGCTCTGAGATGCTTTCTGATCGTGCTGACAAGGACCTGGTTAACCACAGACCTCGGGCAAACGTGGCGGCAAGCTGTGGGTGTGCAGCTCACCACGGAGGGCAGCCAGAGCCAGGCGCAATGAGCCAAAGCCCATGTCAAGCCCCTGGACCTGGCGGCATGTTTGCAAACCGGATAGCCAAGGCCAGAGTGATTTGGGGCCCAGGCCACCATGCTGGCCAAGATAACTTTGCCCCCAGAAGGCTGGGCAACGCCAGCCCATGGGAAAGGCCCCGGGCCCTAGCGAATCCAGGACCTGCCCGTCTCCCTGGAATCCGTGCGCAGGTGGCTGGGCTCGTTCAGAGCGCAGTGTCCCGCCCAAGTCCCAGGCGCACGTGGTCCGCTCGTTTCCTTCCCCCGCAAGGCCCTCCGCCCGCCCGCCCCCCCCCGCCCCCCACCACCCCGCCCAAGGTCAGGCCTTAGTGAGGTGAGCGTGGGACCCGATGCATTGTGGTCCAGCAGGCTGCGGGGGGTGCGACCTGGGCCCTGCGGCTGCCGGAGCACCCCTCCCATCAGCCCACTGCTCTCTGCACCACGAGGGTCCTGGGGGTCACACCGCAGACCCAGCCTTGACCCAGCCCCCGTGCTCACTCATGCTGGCCTCAGGCAGGAGGCAAGAAGGTCAGCAGTGACGTTTATGGGACACAGCTGTACAGTGCGGGGGTCGTGGCGCCGCTGGCTCCCTCCCGGCCTTGTCCGCCTTCGGCTGTTGGTTCTGAACCCCACCTCTCCCCGGACCCTGTGCTGGGGCCAGTCCACTCAGGGGCTGTCCTCTGGGGCCTCTGAATCCCGGTCTTCAAGGGTCATGGCTTCCAGGTGGGAGGTGAACGTGGACATGTCGGGGTCAGCAGGACCAGCACCATCTGGGAACTTGCCTCTGGGCTCCGCAGCTCTGGACCCGGGCGCTGGGAAGAGATGGCGCCAGAGCGCGTGAGCCGCCTCGCCTCAGTGACCAGGCGAGTTGGTTCACTGGGGACCAGGACAGTAGCTCCCTGCTCCCCCACCCCCTTGCTCTGTCCCGACCTGTATCCATGGAGACTCTGAAGGCGCAGCTCATGGAGCTGCCCCTCCAGGGACCAGCTCACTTCAGCTACGTCCTGACCTTTCCTCGCAGCTTCCTGGCATGAGGGACCACCCCCCCCCCCTCGCTCATCAGGACTCTCCCTCTTGCTCCTGGACAGGTCCCCTTGTTCGCACCCCAGGGCCTTTGCACTGGCTGTTGCTTCCACCGGCAATGCTGCCCTCAGATCTTTGCGTGGCTGGCTCAGGTGCCCCTCTTCCCAGAGCCTCTCCCGCCTGGCGCAGGCCGCCCCTCCCATCACGAGGCTGCCGCCGCCCCCGAGTGCCCCGCGTCGGGGCTGTTTTGTACAGCGTCTCTCTTGGAAACGCTTGCTTGCTTTGTGAGTTGTCCCTGTTCCTCCTGGCCCCTGATCCCCGTGGGCAGAATCATTTATCTGTTTTGCTCGTTGCCGTGCCTCCGGGAGACGGGGCTAGGACCCGTGAGTGCATGAATGGCCGCTGCCTCCTCCTCTCGGAAAGATGGACGAGGGTGGCTACACCACTGCTTCTTGAGAAGAACCAGGGGACTGAGTGGCTAAGGCCAGGCAGGTGAGGACAGGGGAGGGGACATGTTCTGGAAGGCTCCAAGGAGGGCAGCATCACAGGCGTGGGGCTGAGTAGGTCCTCCCTTCCCAGGTGGAGAAACAGGCTCAGCGCCCAGGGATGGGCTAGGTCTTGGGCTAGAAAGATCTGACCCGCACCTCTAACAGCCTCCTGACTATGACCCTCTATGCCCCCCCCCCCCCCAGCCTCCTGGAAATGGGAGGCACTACTGGTGAAGAAATGAATGAGAGAGAGAGAGAGAGAGAGAGAGAGAGAGAGAGAGAGGACTCTCAGGGGCCCACCAGGTCCCAGGCTCACCCGCGTGCTCGGCCGGCTCCCCTGGGTCCCCGCGGCTGGCCTCTGGCCCTGCCCCTGCCCCTGCTCGGCAGACACTCAGGCTGTTGCTGTTGCCGATGGCGTCCTCCTCCACGAAGCAGGGCTTGATGGGGACACTCTGGGCCGCGTCCCCCTCCCCCTCGGGGTGAGGTCCTGGTGCGGGCATTCGGATTTCTTCTGGGCCAGCAGTGGCGGCAGAGACTGTGGGTCAGCCCGAGAGAGATGGGAGGGGGGGCGGTGAGCAGCTGGGCCAGAGCCAGACCCTCAGCCTGGCTCTCAAGCCCTCCCTGCGCTGGCGCCCTGGCCCCCACCTCCCCTGGCACCTCTGTGGCCTGTCTGGGCTGCAGGCTCTCTGTCCTCTGCCCCCAGGGGGCAGCGTGGGTCCCACCTCCTCCTGCTGCCCAGCTGACCTGGTCCTCCATGTTGTGCCTGGGACTCAACCACCCCCTCCCCTGCCTCCTGCCCCTCCTCCCTCTGCCCAGAAGCTCTAGAACAGTGGTTCTCAACCTTCCTAATGCCGCGACCCTTTAATACAGTTCCTCATGTTGTGGTGACCCCCAATTTCATTGTTACAAATTGAACATAATTAAAGCATAGTGATTAATCACAAAAACAACATGTAATTATATATGCGTTTTCCAATGGTCTTAGGCGACCCCTGTGAAAGGGTCGTTCGACCCCCAAAGGGGTCGCGACCCACAGGTTGAGAACCGCTGCTCTGGAACGATATCTCCAGCTTTGGTTCACATCTTCTCGAGGCCCCCAGCCCCTGCTGTCCTGCTCCTGCCGGTCCCACCCAAACTTCGGAAAAGACTGTCCACACTCAGCCGCCTCCTCTCACTCCCCACACTCCTCTGTCCCCTCAGGTCACCGCTGACCCTGATGGCTGGACCCCATGGAGCTCCTCAGGCCTCATTGGTCTCCCCCTTCTGGAACCTGCATCCCTGGCATCTCCCTCTCAGGCCTCTCTGCTGGATTTCTCCCCAGCCTGCCTCTGATAACCAGTGACCGGGAGGGTACAGCCTAGGCCAGGGGTGGGCAAACTTTTTGACTCGAGGGCCACAATGGGTTCTTAAACTGGACCAGAGGGCCGGAACAAAAGCATGGATGGAGTGTTTGTGTGAACTAATATAAATTCAAAGTAAACATCATTACATAAAAGGGTACGGTCTTTTTTTTTTTTTTTTTAGTTTTATTCATTTCAAACGGGCCGGATCCGGCCAGCGGGCCATAATTTGCCCACGACTGGACTAGGACTTCTAGGCATCATCGGCTGATGGGCACCAGGTCCTTTCGGTGGCTCCTGTCCTCCACCCTCCTAAATGCCATCCCAGTCGGCCATCTCTCTGTCCCCCCTTCAGTTGCCCCGACCTCTGCTGCCGAACGCCCATTGTACCGATGAAAACACTGAGGGCTCCTGATGGGCGTAATAAGGCTAGGAGCCTGAGTACTATCTCTAAAAGCCCCCCCAGCTCACCACTGGTGGGTGGAAAGGAATTTCACATTACTGCTCTCTCTATGCAAAGACTGGTTTAGGATCCCTCCTCTGAGGAGCCAAATGGGGAGGGGATGGGGGAAACATGCCTTAGCCCCCCGATACCT